AGAAACCAATGATGTTCACGATACACAATCAACAACCTAATCAAGAGTTTTTCTTTCAATTAATGCACAAACGTTAAATTAAAATTTTATTGTAGGGATTTTGGTAAAAAAGTGGCTTTTTAGACCATAAGTGAATTTCATGAAATTCAAAGAATTAATATGTGTATCAAGTCAATTAATTATTTGAATATGATGATATTTTTTCAGATTGCCCCGAAGCTTCATACGGCAAAGAGTGTTCGAAAATGTGTACAGATAGAAATTGTTTACAGAATCAAACTTGTGACAGTATGAATGGCACTTGTGTTGATGGTTGTAAACCAGGTTTTATATCAGCTGACTGTACACAAGGTAAATATAATATAGTGAATACAGTATATAATAGTATTAATGGTAGATATATTGAAGGATGTCAACCAGGTTTTATATCAATTGACTGTACAGAAAGGTAAATATAATATAGTGAGTACAGTATATAATAATATTAATGGTAGATATTATATTGAAGGATGTCAACTAGGTTTTATATCAATTGACTGTACAGAAAGGTAAATATAATACAGTGAATACAGCATATAATAATATTAATGGTAGATATTATATTGATGGTTGTCAACCAGGTTTTATATCAATTGACTGTACACAAGGTAATATAATATAGTGAGTACAGTATATAATACTATTAATGGTAGAAATTATATTAATGGTCGTCAACCTGGTTTTATATCAATTGACAGTACACAAGGTAAATATAATATAGTGAGTACAGTATATAATAATATGAATGGTTGATATTATATTGATGGTTGTCAACCAGGTTTTATATCAATTGACTGTACACATGGTAAATATAATATAGTATGTACAGTATATAATAATATTAATGGTAGATATTATATTCATGGTTGTAAACCAGGTTTTATATCAATTGATTGTACACAAGGTAAATATAATATAGTGAGTACAGTATATAATAGTATTAATGGTAGATATTATATTGATGGTTGTCAACCAGGTTTTATATCAATTGACTGTAAACAAGGTAATATAATATAGTGAGTACAGTATATAATACTATTAATGGTAGAAATTATATTAATGGTCGTCAACCAGGTTTTATATCAATTGACAGTACACAAGGTAAATATAATATAGTGAGTACAGTATATAATACTATTAATGGTAGAAATTATATTAATGGTCGTCAACCAGGTTTTATATCAATTGACTGTACACAAGGTAAATATAATATAGTGAGTACAGTATATATTAATATGAATGGTTGATATTATATTGATGGTTGTAAACCAGGTTTTATATCAATTGACTGTACACAAGGTAAATATAATATAGTGAGTACACTATATAATGATAGTAATGGTAGGTATTATATTGATGGTTGTAAACCAGGTTTTATATCAACTGACTGTACACAAGGTAAATATAACATAGTGAGTACAGTATATAATAATATTAATGGTAGATATTATATTGATGGTTGTCAACCAGGTTTTATATCAGTTGACTGTACACAAGGTAAATATAATATAGTGAGTACAGTATATAATAATATTAATGGTAGATATTATATTGATGGTTGTAAACCAGGTTTTATATCAATTGACTGTACACAAGGTAAATATAATATAGTGAGTACAGTATATAATAATATTAATGGTAGATATTATATTGATGGTTGTAAACCAGGTTTTATATCAATTGACTGTAAACATGGTAAATATAATATAGTGAGTACAGTATATAATAATATTAATGTTAGATATCATATTGATGGTTGTAAACCAGGTTTTATATCAACTGACTGTACACAAGGTAAATATAATATAGTGAGTACAGTATATAATAATATTAATGGTAGATATTATATTGGTGGTTGTAAACCAGGTTTTGTATCAAGTTAACCAACGAACTTGATATATTTAGATTGTGATGATGGATTCTATGGTGAAAACTGTAATAAGAAATGTTCAGAGAGAAATTGTATAAATAACAGTACAGTTTGTAATAAAGTTGATGGTAGTTGTAATGGTGAATGTCTAGATGGTTATAGTGGTATAGACTGCAGCCGTTCTAGTTTAGCTTCTATTCCTAATAATGGTAAGTTAGGTTTGCCCTCTGAATAGATAAATATCAATTAGTCCCTGATTAAGAATGGGCTATAATGGCCCCAAACTCTCATATTTAATCGTTTACTTGGCATTGTAAAAATCGTTATGCTAGAGTTGGAGATTGGATTAATAAGGTCATGACTATCATGTTTTCTATTTAGCAGAACCTGCAGATGATAATGAAACCTCCATCATTATAGGAGTTTTTGTTGCGATTATTATTGTCTTGGTAGCAATAATTGTAGGTGTCTGTGTATACTTTAAAAAAAGGTAAAGTATTTGACTATTCTCATACGTCTCAAGAAATCATTGACTAACCAAATCTAATATCGATATATTCAGTATGTTTCTCAACTTACAGGTCTTAATTGTTAAATCCTACCGTTAACAACCTCTAAACAATGGCACTTTGAGCACATCCGGTTACGATTTCATTATGCACAGAATACAAAAATATAAAGGGTTATATCGCTTCTAAAAGCATATATTCTACTGTATGTCAATTGGACCTAGATTTAAACAAATATGCTCGATTTGGTTGATACCTAGATACAGATCTTTCACAAGTTAGTCCTCTACAGCTAATACTCTTGCATTTTTATCATGAATAGCTACCGTTTTTATACCCATACGAAACAGATTTTCTCTCATTATTTATACTTTTTTTCAGAAAATCGTTTCCATCTTCAAGTATCAAAGATCCACCAGTAGTAAATTTCAATGCTACAACACCTACAGCTGGTCATATCTATATCAATGATACAGTAGAAAATGATTTAACTGAACAGTCAAATGTTAACCATTACAGTTCATTAGGAGTTGCTTATGTGAATGAAAATCCATATGAACAGATTAAAAAGTGATGTGTTTTTCTAACTTTATTTTACATCTGACCAAATATTATTCCATAAAGAATATAATATGAAAGTTATAAAAGATTGAAATGATGGAAGTTAGCAGAACCCATATTTCACAAGTTGTATTCAATGTGCGTTTGCAAATCAGTATTATTGTTTTAAGTTATTCGGACAAAGATTTTAAATGGAGCCAAAGAAACGTATAAGGACTAAGGCCGGTTATTCATTTGACATCTGTTTCCATGTTAAATCACGAAATTCAACCTTCTATAACTTTTTCTCGTTGAGACTTTCCAATACGTCGTA